TTTTTTTGGCTTTTTGAGACAGGGTCTATGTAGTTGAGACTGACCTGAAACTCACTATATAGCTCAGGCTGGTCTTGAAATCACAGTGATCCTACTGCCTCAGCCTCCCAAGTGCTGGGATTACAGGCATGCGCCACCACAGCTGGCCTAGGAATGTTTATTTGTTTTTTTTTTTTTTCCATTTATCTATTTGCTAAATAAATTTCTCTCATTCTAGTAACTAAACCAATGTATGTTTCCAATGGGATGCAAGTTTGTTTCACTATTCAGTCTGTGAACCTTTATATGTTAGTACCTTATTCTTACATACTTATTACACCATTTAAGAAAGGTTGTACCTAATTAATTTTTTGGATTTTGAGACAGGGTCTTGCTATGCAGTTTAGGCTGGTCTCAAACTTGCAGCAGTCCTCCTGTCTCACTCTCCCAAGTGATGGCATTACAGGAGCGTGCCACCATGCCCAGCTGTAGCTAATATTTTTTATATGAGGGTTTAATTTTTTTGACTGATATATTACTATTTAATTTCACAAACCATGCATGTATTAACAATTTAAAAAAACAAATGAGTTTCTCTTAACTTTAAGTAAGGTATACAGGCATTAGGAAATAATTTAAATATTTAGTAAGGTTTTACCAAAGTACAAAAGGAATAATTATAAAAATACTCAGTTAAAGGTATTTTTTAAAATGTGAGAAATTATGAAGTTAATAAAATTCATCTATTAGAATACACATATGGTTTTGTTTTCCTTGTTTTGTTGCGGCCTCTAAGAATAAAATATTGACCAAACTCTGCTAAAATGAATGATTTCTAAGGAGTTTAAGAGTTGCTTCTGGAATTTCTTTGCTTCCCATGTATTTTGAAAATGACATGTGACCCAAGGGCTCATCACCTGAAAAGTACACATAAGAAGAGCAAGGATTTGACAGAAATTCAGAATAAGTAAGAACTGTTTGGAGCCTGTCCAAGAATGTGGTTTAAGAACTTCTGGGTTAGAGAAAAATCAACTAGTTATATAGAATCGTACAAACTTTGAGATGTGTGTATTCCTTTAAATTTTAAAATGGGAATTTTCACATGTATTCAAAAGAACAGAGAATATAACCATGATGTCCCTGTCAATAATTAACACATGGTTAACCTTGTTTCATCTATAATCCTCATCTACTTTTCCCAATTAGGTTAGAAAATTTCAGTTATTTTCAGGTTAGCTGCAAATACTTTATTTCTAAAATATAACACTTTAAAAGGATGGTAGTTTTTCCCTGATGTCTCCAAGTTGTTTTCAAATCAGAGTTCAAATAAGGTCAACAAAGCCATTCTTCAGCAGGTATGGCTTTAAAAATCTTTAGTCTTTCAGTTTTTTTTTCTCTTTTCCTTGCCATCTATTTATTTAAAAAACCAAGTTCTCTATCCTATGAAGTTTCCCACTTTCCTGGATTTTGTTGCCTCTTTCCCATATTGTTTTCTAGTCTAGGTGTTTACTGTAAACTGTCAGCTGGAGCTAGAGATTTGAGGGGACTCAGTTGTGATGTTACGGGCGGGAAGCCTTAGAGCAGGACCTTATACTTGTGACATATTATGACAAAGCACATAATGTCCATTTATGAATGAATGATCATTAGATTTAGATGACACGAATTTTATCCATCCATTATAAAGTTTTCCACCAGCTTTTTATCAGTTCTTCACCTAACAGTTATCATTCCTATTCTAGATTCACTATTTTAGTAATGGGTAAAAACCAGTGATAGTAAGACTCATTCATTTATTCTCCATTAGCTGGTAATTTTTTCCATTTTAAAATATGAATAACTGCTTTGTATTTCTCCCATATGAGAAACTTACTTTTTGAAACTAATGACACTAAGATTAAAAATGTCATTTAAGTAGGCTAAGTGGTACTAACTGCTTTACTGCCAATCGTATTCTATTTGCCCACTTATATTTTCAGAGTAAGCTATTATCTTACACAAGTTAAAAGCCATTACAGTAGAGGGACAGGTTAAGTTATAAACAATAGCCTCAAAGGAAAATCATTTACAAAGGGATGTACCTTTCATATAGGATCCTACAGAGAACATTTCTAAAACTAAGCTTGAATTAAGGCTGTTATACACGATTACAACTGTCCCTATCACCTGGATCGTTAGCAGAGAAACTAAATGGAACCTGGAAACATTGAAAATACCAGTTTATGGTTTTAACAAGTAGTTAGTAAATAATTCTTTGTTGTTGTTTGGTTTGGTAGTATTGGTACTGTTGAATGAACCCCAAGTCTTGTGCTAAACACTTCACCGTAAGCTTTTTTATTTCTTAATTCTGAGATAGGGTATTGCTAAATTGTGCTGGATGACCTCAAAAATTGCAATCCCCTTGTTTTAGCCTCTTGAGTAGCTTGAATTACAGATGTGTACCAATAATTTCTTTTCATGCTTTGTAAACAATCTTTAAGATACAACCTAAGCTCATATTGTATTTGAGCTGGAAATAAAACAGCCTCTCTTAGCAGTATGTTTACTGACTTTAAATTTCTTTGACTTTTTCTTTTATTAACCTTTCTTCAATATAGCTTACATATTTATTTAGCTTACATAACTATTTTTGTTAGAAATCATTACTCTTTAATATTTTACCTAAGTTACAGTAACAGCAGTTGAATAATATTAATTATGGTGTAAAGACTGCTGTGTAGTGTATTTATAGATTAATTTAGGGATAATTTTCTCCAAATCACACTAATCTACTAAGGTATGGTAACAACATTCCTTCATAGGTTATAGAAAATGTTTCAGAACACTGGAGTAGTGCTTAGCCTTCCTAAATTTCCCCTACTATTGATGTTCTTATCTCAGTGATTGCTACCATTTAAATCTTACATGTTCCCTAAAGGCTGGTATATAAAGGCTTGATGCCCGGAGGTGTGCCCCTGAAAGGGATACAGGGGCATAGTCTCTTTCTCTGCTTCCTGCCCAGCATGAGGTAAGCTGCTTTCCCACTCCTTGCTATGATGTTGTTTCCTGGCCATAGGTCTCAAAATAATAAAGCCAGTTAACCACGGACTTGAACCAAAAAACCATGAGCCGAAATACACCTTTCCTCCTTTTAAGTTGATTATTATAGTTATTTTGTCACAGCAACAAAAAAAACCAAACAATAGGGATCTTCCTCTATTTGAATGCTTTCTTCATACTTAAAATTTTGCATTAAATCTTTTAACATTGTTTTTTACTATAAAAGTCTAAAGTTCTCTGTGACATGTTTAATCTACTGAAAAATTAAGACAGAATTTTGAGACTTTAATTCAATCTTCAAAACCTATGTTCATCAATGAGTTAATGCTTATGTTTATTTCTAGCTGCAATTATATTAGCATTATTCTGTCAACTTTTTATTTACCTGGGTAAGTGCGCTGACTCGGTTCTCACTAGGAAACAAAGGTGGGTCTTCTCCAACTTGAAAATCAAAATATACGGTTTTATGTGTAAAAGTAGAAAATTCATTGCTGAAACAAAATTTGTATGTCCCATTTCTGGAAGCTGTGAAGGTAAAGCTATCATACTGTTTCTTCATCTCCTTGTATAACACTTTACCATCAGGATCTTCCAATCGACAATCTACATCATAGTGACCACCAGTAATCACCTAAACAAGATTAAGAATAAAAAGAGATCACTGCAGTGAATAAGTATGAGAAATTAACCGATTTCCTGTTAAAATGGCAATAAAGTTATGGACCAATAACTATCACATGCAATTTTACATTTAAAAAAATTTTTCACCAATGGTTGAAATTTGGGAAGCAGATTTTAGTTTAACTAAAGTTTTACAGAAACTAGACAAATTTCCTCACGAAGAAGGAATTTTTACTCATTTCAGACAACTGTGCTACTTAATATGGGAATATTCTATCAATTTAGAAGCAAGTGACGAGGAAGAGTCATTAGGTTTGAGAGTTCCCAACCACCATGAGAATAAATGATGTTAAATTTTGTTATTTTCAACTCTCAACTCCCTTGGTTCACATAATATTGACATTCTCCACCAATAAAACAAAGAGGTCCAACTTTGGACTTCAAAGATCTGTTACTTATGCGAGTTTTTATCACAAAAGATGATGACTAAATCAACTATGTTACAATCATTTTGGTAAATGAAATCTAACTACATAAACTGTAAAAACAATATTTATATACTAATACAAAAAAAATGTTTTGATGTAAAAGAGAACCTATCAAGTGGGTATTTACCCCTCCGTGCAAAACCTCATCATTTTTCCAGTAGAAAAATGACTTTGTTTTGATATACCCAGTTATTCATACTTGATTGCAGTATATTGTTGTTTTTTGGTACCGGGGATTGAACCTGGGTTGTGCTTGAGGCAGGCAGCGGCACCACTGAGCTAAATCTCCGGCCCTTGATTACTGTATTTTGAATTATCAAATACATACATGTAAACTGATAGGATGTAGACTCCTCATGCTATCTTTCTTCCAGCAATTTTAAATTTTTGGGATACCGGGATTGAACCCAGGGGCTTTGCACTGAGCTACATCCTCAGCCTTTTTGTTTGGAGAAAGGTCTTACTAAGTTGCTAAATCATCCAAGCTGGGCTTAAATTTGCAATTCTTTGCCTCACCCTCATCAGATTATTTAAAACAAGTACTCTTATTTGAGTCAATACCCTTTTAAATTGTCTGGTCGCCTATGATTGAAACTGGGATCATCCCAAACTTAATGTCCCTACCTATCCAAATGATCACAAAAACCTATCTTATTATCTCTCTCAAATTCATCCCATTCCTTTCATGCCTAATCCACAATAATTTACTGTCACAATCTCTTAAAAGGTTTTGCACACTTTAACTCATTTGCCCTCTAACCCAGGGTTTGCCAAACTTGGTACCACTCCCATTTTTGAGCCAGATAATTAATTGTAGCAGGGGATGTGTTGTACTGTGCATTGTACCATGTGCATGTCTCTACACTCCACCTGCCAGTAGCAGCACTCCTACAACATGCCAAATGTGTTGGGGGGGCAGTCTATCTTTCTTCACCATTTTCACTGTGCAGTCATTTAAATTTTTTTGACAGTGACAGTTCACTGTGGACTACCAGAACATCCCACCTGTTAAATGGCATACCATTTCATTGCACCTCCCATTAAACAGGCTAAGGACCTTTTATATTCATGTCTATGCCTATTCTATGTCCCAAGTTGTCTGGTCAAGTTTTTACACCTGGACTGACAGTGGCAGTTCGATAGTGTTTGTTTGCTATAAAAGAATCACAGGACCCCAAAAGACAATGGTGACAAATCTAGTTTATTACAGGAAAAGAACATAATTTAAAACATCACTGCCAAAGACTACTTCATAAGAGGTCTAGAGATGTCAGATGTGGGCTCCTCTGTCCTCCCTCTGAGGTTTATTGCCAGACACTTTCTCACAAGTGTGCAAGGAACACTGAAACTCAAATAGGGTGTTAGGTAGGTTTTTAAATATTTTGCTGGTCACACAGACATATTCCTTCTATGTACCCAGTCTCAACAGCAGAGTCCTTGGTGGCAGTGGGGTGGTGTGGAAGGGAGGAGCACTCACCCAGACCAGGTACAAATCATCAACCTTACAGTTATGAGAGACGAAAAAAAAAAAAAAAAGATTGACAAACTGGAACAAACTTCCCACAAAGTCCTCAGATCCAGTCACAAAGTGAAACTATTATTATGCAGTATATTTCAGCTCCATGAACAAACTAGAGCAGAAGGGCTTAGGCTTGAGTCCTGCTGGAAAGCACACCAACATACCTGCCTAGGCTGCCTTTCCTCCCTCCTTGGTTATATTATAGAGTAATTCCTATCTATCCTGCCAGATTGCTTAAACATCAGTCTCTCAGCTACATTTCTCCTGGATTCCTCTGTCTTCTCTCAACACTGTATCTTTAGATTCTTATTGCTACATTTAACATTATATGACTATGAAAACTCCCTTAAGTAAAAATGTTATCTTGGAGAGGTAGAAGAGTTTAACTTGATCGTATACTGATTCTGTTACCTGTAAATTTGCCAACATTAGGTCTTAACCTATCTAACCCATCTCATCAATTAAAAAAAAAAGTCTTATCCATTTTATATCAAGTTTTCTTGAGAATTACCTAACACACCTGAAACACTTGGCATACTATACACACTTAACACAGGCTATTTTTTTTTTTTTAGCTCTTGTAGTATCTTTGACACCTAGCACAACATCTGCACATTTAAGAACTCCAGAAATGTTTAGTAAATAAAAACAAAGAAATTCTGGCATACACTTTATATTAATACTCCTGCTACATACCTTCTTTCTGCTCCTAATTTATAAATTTAACAAGCATAAGGTCATTCTTAAACTACCCATGAGAGCCAATTATGACCAAATCCTTTTGACTTTAACTTACTTCATTCTTTCCAAAGCTTTTTTCCTCCTTCCTCCTTTTTACAGCCATCATCTAAACCACTCTCATTTCTTGCCTGGAACTAACAAGAGCCTCCTACAGTCTTCCACATGTATTCTAAAACAACATTTTAAACATCTTTTCTACTTTCATATGTTAAATTTCATGCAGCTATGGAAATTCTGGTCACGTCCCTGAACTACTTAAAATCTACTGATGGTCCTATACTCAAAGAAATAACTAAAATCCTTAACATGGCCAGCAAGGCTCCGACAGACTGGCCCCTGCTTACCTCCCTTCCTCTGGCTCCTTATTTTCAACTATATTGAATCTCATTATGGTCCTCAAATTCTTAGTGTTCACTCTACCCATAGGATATTCTGCATCTCCTTTTTCAAAGTATTTACGACTCACCCTTTAAAATTCAGCCTAAAATGAGTTTCTGAAAGACCAGTTCACACATTCCCCATTTATTGCTATTAAAATAGTTTTAATGAGTGTATCAAGGTTCTTAATACTAATTACGAGTGTACTAATTCGTATTAATTCAAATGGGTAATACTGATGGGAAGCAAGAGCTCTGGCAGTGACCTTATCTGTTTTGATCACTTCTGTATCACCAGCACCTAGGATACTGTGGCTGCTCAATTCCTAAATGAGCTTGTCAACAAAGATAGAGTATGAGATAATTAACAATGTGAAATAGGAAGAAAAGGGCTAAAGGTGTAGGGAAAGTGGGAAGGGTAGGGGAAGGGGAATAAGGGAAAAGAAAAAAATATAAGAAAATGGAAATAAAATGTTTGTAAACAGGGAGGGTAGGAGAAGGAGTGCAGGGACAAGGGGAAAAAATGAGAACCAAGACCTGTCACGTAAAGGTACAAGATCCCAATAATGAATGTAACTGTTCTGTATACCTAAAATGTATCAATAAACTCAATTAAAAAAAAAAAGAGTACTGTTCTAGCCAACTAAATAAATTACATCCTGTTTAATAAAGCTCCTTTTAAAATATAACCCTAAAGACAGGAAGGGAGCTCGTATTTACCACAATTTTTTTGGCAGATGGTCGTTCAGCCTCTAACGGAGCATTTCCAAGGACAGGAACTGCCAAGAGTCTTACTACCGCCGGAAAAACCGAAAAGCAATGGAGTTAGACACTAGCAGCACTGCAAATCCATCTAAAGTGGAGATTTTATGGGAGGATGGGAGGATTCATACTGAGCGTTCTAGAACAGGAAGATCCTTTTCTAAAAAAGGGAATTTTTCAAGGAAGAAAATTCAGTACGCCTTACAATGAAAACCATCAAAGCACAGAAAGAAATGTTACACTAGCGGAAGCATTTCTGAGACTCATTAAGTGACCTTACACATGTACTTTGCTCAGGATTTAAAAAAGGTAAGCCAAATGCCCTGCACTGACCACATTGAAGGTGATCCTTGAACTTGCCAAAGAATGAAGAAACACGACAGAGGGAAGCACCCCAAAGGTCAGAGCCCCAACCCTGAGGCCGCGGCGAGCTGGAGCCTAGGGCCCGCAGGCCCGTGGTACCTGGAACTCGAGGGTGCACTTGGTGCCCTGAGCTATGTCCTCGTAGAAGCACTGCTTGGCGTTGTCGGGCAGCTCGAAGGTAATCTCGGAGGCGCCGCCAGGCACGGGCACCAGCAACAGCAGCAGGAGCGCGAGCAGCCTGCTGCC